GGATTTACCCATCTTTCTGAAGCCCGATGCAAGAGATCTATTCACCTGTCTTCCCGTCTGTCTTTTTCTCTTGGATGATGACTAGATCTTTATGCTTTGAATTTTCTAATGCTTCAGGCTTCCTTGCTCTTTCAAATCCCCCATCCTATTAATGGTGTAGACTGCCTGCCACCAGGTGGCAGACCTCCCTTTCGCCTTTTGGTGACTTCTGTTCCTTCTCTTCTCTTTTCTCTCTCCAAGGCAGCTGGAGAGCTCGGGCTTGCCTATCCTGGGGTTTTCTTTCCTCTTAAACTCCAACAAATTGTCCTCAAGCTTCTGTTTGAGCCTATTCTTAAATTTTTCTAGTAACAAAACCGTGAACCCCAAGAAGGGACCTGATTTTCATGGATTACCATGACTCTGTGGGGACTTCCTGAGATTTCAGATTTAACTTCTTTCCTGCCTTTTAATTCTTTAATTGGCAGAGAAAACAAACCTGTTACTACACTCTGAGATGGCACCATGCCCTGCTCCCAGCTGTCATTCCTGACTTGCATATCCCCAAATTATCTGGGGTTTAAAACACAGTCTCTCTGCATATACCAGGATAGACTGGAATTCACAATCCTTAGCTTCAGTTTCTTCTAAGTGAATGTGATGATGCCAAATGTGCCTATTGGCAATCTTAGCAAGGTAGATATTCAGTTGTGCGTGGTAGATGCAGCATGGAGTGACATGGACACTGTTAACGTTTAAGTTATATAGAGAAGAGGTATTTGAAAAGACCTGCGTTAGATGATCAATCTGAGATTGAGTAAATTATCCCAGTAGAATTCTAGCATGAGATCATAATCTACAGATGATCCTTGTTACCCCTTGTGGTACATGATGCAAATTCCCAGCCCCAGAAGCACATGTATACCTCAGAAGCCATGGCCCCAGCAAACCGAAGTCTGTAATGAGACATGAAGTATTTTGCAAGAAGAGCCACCTGAATCTTCTTCCCCTCTCTTGTTTGGAGCAGATAAGAGAGCTTACAAGGTGGGGCCCGTCCTCTTCCCTGGCAACACGTTGTAACCTGATGAGTTGGACTTTAGTGGGCTCCCTTCCTGTTTCGATGAGCAGATCCAATTCAGATGACACATGTGTTCTAGGTGCTGTAGTACCTCTCAGGTTGGAGAGAAACTTTAGGTCAAACAGATGGTAAAGTTATCATTGGACTGCTTTTGTTAGTGTTTTATAAATCCCATGCACATTTCTCCCTGCTTTCTAAAAAGACATAAAAGAAACATCCCCTCACCTCAAACAGAGAAGGAATGAGCAGACCAAAGAAACTGGACTTAGAAAATAAGTTAACTGGTGTCACCCACGGGAGCGTGGGCAACTTGTGAGCAACTGTACCATAAAAAAGTCTCACCCCAGGCAATTTTTTTACCTTTTTCTTTGAGGCAGGATCCCATGTAGCCCAGGCTAGCCTTAAACTTCCCATAGAGTCAAGGTTGACTTTGGCCTCCTGGTCCTCCCGTATCTCCCTCCCACGTGCTGCGATTGTGGGTGTGTGCTATCAGGATTCCTACCTTTTTACGGCAGTGATGGGGTCTAAGAGGAGTGCCTGTGACTCTCTCCCTCTTTAGAAGGAGTGCTTGCCCCATCACCAGACCCTGTCATGACAGTGGCCAAGGTCTCCTAGGGTTCATGTCAGGCCGGCAGGAAGCAACTATATCTCCTTCCTCAGAGACAGAGTTTCTAAGGAAACCTGGAAATCTGCAGTTCTGGCTCCTCAGTGCACCACGTGAGTGTTCCTTACACGTCTTTTGCTATTTTAGTTCTCATTAGATTGAAAATATGAAGCACGTGCAGTTTGTAATAAGTAAACAGTAGAGAGATATATGGAGGACAATGATCACCCTTATATGCCCAGCGACACATTTTCTAGGCAACCAATGACAAAATTTTGGCATACATCTTTCCACAAACACATAAGGACATGGAGGTTACTTGTCACGATGGCACACACCTGTTGTTCCAACACTCAAGAGGCTGAGACAGGAGAGGCTTGAATTTGAAGCCAGCCTGGGCTATACAGTGTGACCCTGTTTCAAAACCAGACAGGTATAAATGTATAAATCACATAAAATTGTTTTATGTTCCTGTTGCAAACATTAGTCTGTAATTTTCTTCCTTGTGTTTTCCTTAACACTTTTTAAATATTTCTGTAAGCACTTACATATCTTACTCATTATTTTTCATAATAGCATAAAGATCTATAAGTATTTTTATGGGTAAGTATTCAGACTGTGCCCTGTCTCCTCCTCATCCCTACTCCCCCGGGAGAGAACCTAAAGCTAAACACAGCCCTCTTTTTACTTTTTCTTGAGAGACACAGTTTTACAAGTTGTGCAGGTTGGCTTTGAACTCACTCTGCAGCCCAGGCAGGCCTTGAACTTTCTCTTCATTTTAAGATTCATTTTATTTTAAAATTTTTAATTTTTCTTTTATTCTTTTTTAGATTATAATATACTTACATCATTTCCCCCCTCCCTTTCCTCCCTCCACACCCTCCCGTATACGGCTCCTTGCTCTCTTTCAAATTCATGGCCTCTTTTTAAATTGTTGTTACATATGTATTACATGTATATGTTCCTAATACATAAGTAAGTCTCACCAACACACTATCTAAATGTGAGTTGAATGTAAATAATCAGCAATAGACCTGTTACTGTGGACAGGGAAAAGCCCCAGAAGACTCAGCCCTGCCTGGTTGCTACAGGCAACCGAGGATGCTGAGAGCAGGAGAAACAGTGTTCCGGGGGAAAGCTCACCCACTGGTTATCCAGTACCACATGGTCGGCCCTGAAAACACACCTACAAGTGGCATTATCCAGGCTTTGAACTTGCAATCATCCTTACAAGCCTCCCAAAGAAGCAGGGACTGCAGGTCTTCTTTTTAGCTCACTACTGATGCTGTGGTCAGTATTGAACTGTGTGTTCCTATAGTGATGCGTTTATTTCTGTGGAACAAAAGGCAATGGGATAATACACTCTTGATTGCAATCATTATCTCCCCAAACACTTCAGTGGTTTATGTCTCCACCCCTCCTCAAGTCCTTAACATCACAAGCTGTTAGTGACCTTTACATGTTTTCATTTTACTTTTTATGTAAACCAGGCTGGCCTGGAACTCACACAGGCTTACCTGCCTCTGTCTCCCCAGCCCTAGGATGAGGTTTGCACTACCACACCTGGCTTGCAGTCTTATTCGCTAACAGCCTGAGAAAGAAAAACAGATCTAGGTCATGTCCCTATTTTCAATGATCTCATTCTCTCTTGTCACTCTAACAGGAAGATCAAAATCTTTGACCTGGACCAAAGCAGTGTGTGGTCTCAGAGCCTGCACGCCCTGCGGGAGGCTTATCTACTAATAGGAAGGCTTTCTCAGTTCATGAAAACGATGACATGAGGACTCATGATGCCATGATGAGTGGTTTGCCAGTGTAAGCCCATAGGGAGCTACGCCTTTTAAAATGTGACTAACTTATGCCTAAAAGGAATAATTATTTCTATTTTATTTGCCTTGATGCAAGTATTTTTACAGTTGCTTCAGGCTGGTCATTTAAACTCTAAACTTTAGAGTAAACATGGAAGCACAGGACTCCTTAAAAAAAAATGTTAGTGCACCACCCCAGCTCCCAGGGAAGAGTCAGGTCTGGGTGTAAATTCAGGGGGTTTTGCATCTCTTGTTTTTAAGTTGGACTTTTCAAGTAGAAGATGCCTTTAATGTGTTGGTTTGCAGAACAGGAAATCTGATTTTTCCATGCGATAACACTCTTTGACATTAACCAGTGCAGTTGGATTTTTAATGACACTTTCATCTTCAAAGCCCTTTACCAACACAGATGGATTAATTATTCATTTGTGGAGGGGGAGGGGCAGCGTTAAAAAGACAAGCCTTCAAACTCAAATCCTTTCTCCTTGGAATTAGGGCTCTCTACTTTTCAAATGTTGTTTTCCAGTCCTCAAGGTAGGAAGTAAAGATGAATACAATGGGAAAAAAATCTTTGTGCTATGGGAAGATATCCTTATATCCTGAGTGGGATTAAAAGAGGTTGGGAGGCAGAGTTAAAGCTGTGTTTACAGTAAGCACCCTGAGAAATAACTGGCTAAAAGTGTTTGTTACTGTTCGGGCTTTTGATGTATTTTTACGGAGCAACAAAACCATAAAGGACCTAAGGTTAAACATACGTTAGAACACAATATCATGGACCCTTATATTTCATGCTAAAAATATATAGATTTTGTTCTTGTTACCTTCAAAAAGTGTCTAATTTGGTTTTTAAAAGATTTGATTTCGCAGAAGAAAACCTCGGGCTTCCCCGGAGGTCCTCCTTGACTTGACACATCTTCTAACCGCAAGAGAGCAGTCTTCCCTTTGATGAGCGCTTCTTCACCACCTCCTCAGAAATGAAAGAGCAAGGGGTATGTTTGCAAACACCCTGAAAGCTCTTTCCATCAGACCTGAACTCCGGAAACCACAAAGGACAGTCAAGTTTGGATTTTCAAGGAGAAAGCCAGAGTAAACTTTCTGTCTGCCGGCCAGCCGATCTGCAAGTGCCTGGGAGGGACCCTGCTCAATTACTGGTTCCCCGAGAGCCACACTTGCTAACCCAGCAGTGAATTACAGCAATTGGGCAGCTTTGAAAGATCAATCTGTTTGGGGTGCGATCGTCTATTCAGGCTGGAGACCCTTTGTTAACTTTTGAACTAAGATCGGAGCGGACACATGGGTACAAGCGTGGATGAGGCGCGTCCTCTTTCTTTGCCCTTTCTGTTCTGAAGTTTTATAAAGAGAGCAACACGCTTCGGAAATCATGCGAAGTACCCTCCAAGTGTGTTCAGGGACCTAGCCTCTGGACCTAGAAACTTCTCCACAGAGACGGACCGGGAAGTCTGCATGGACCAGCGCCTCGGCCACGAAAGCTTCCAACCATCCCTTGGGTGATCTGCGCGCTTTTCCGCGGAGGATGGAGAAACGCAAACCGGCGGGACTGCTGGCTCTGCCGTCCCCGCTACGGACGCCGCCGCTGGGCGCGCTGCCCCGGAGGGAGCCCGGCAGGACCTCCGCGCGCCTGGCCGCCGAGGACAGCGCGCGGAGGCCGCCCTGCCCGTCCTTGTCGCTGGGGGGCGTCGGCGAGCCCGCCTCTCTGCGCCAGCGCAACGAGCGCGAGCGGCAGCGCGTGCGCTGCGTGAACGAGGGCTACGCGCGCCTCCGCCAGCACCTGCCGCGCGAGCTGGCCGGCCCGCGGCTCAGCAAGGTGGAGACGCTGCGCGCCGCCATCAGCTACATCAATCACCTGCAGGAGCTGCTGGAGCGCCACCGGCGGGACTGCAACAGCGACGGCGAGTCCAAAGCGTCCTCCGGGGCCTCGCCCTGCAGCGAGCCGGAGGAGCGCGGCTAGCAGGGCCCTTGCCCTCCAGGTTTTCATGGTAACCGGTTTCTTCTCTGGCCCCAAAGCTTAAGAATTAAGTGCTTCTGGAATGGGGAAGAGGGTGTTTTAATGTTTGGAGATTATCCCCCTTCCACATTTGTCGGTTCCGAACCTGCAACTTAGGAATGCTTGAGGAAACTTGTTTCTTCTGAAATACACAAGGACCGTCCCAGATCGATGTGGTGATTTTAAAAACACAAAGGGCTGTAACAGTTAAACCTTAGCCAGAGAAGAAAACCACGCGCGTATACACACACACACACACACACACACACACACACACACACACGGGCAGTCCTTCATGTGAGAGGAACATTCTCGCGCATTTCTTCCCTTTGGGACTTTACTGGAAATGCCATCGCCCCACTCTGGGTGAAGGTGGCTAAGATGACCTCCATAACAACATCTCTGGAGAATATGCTAGACCTGAACGTAGGCTTGCTGACTGTGAATGGCCATGCTAAAAATAAAAAGGACGTTATTGTTTGATATATACTGCTCTGCGGCAAGAAGTCGTTTGGAAACTTTAACAGGTGATAAAGTGTCTCGATGTTAATAATCTTTTTGGAGCTCTAGACGGCCACCTTCCCTCTTCGTTTCTCCCCACTGTTTCTCTTGCTCCTTCTTTGCATAGTCTGTAAAATTTTCACCCCGTTGAATTTTCTGTTGGAAAATTGGCACTGATTTGAAAAATAAAAAGCAAATATGCTTTGTTTCGATGTTTGAGCTAAATGGGAGGGAGATGGACGATGGATTTGAACTGAACTTGCTACGTGTCCAAGCCACTTGTCTTTGAAGGTTTTCAGGTGTACTGAATATTTCTCTATGGTCATTCTCTATGCCTCACCAAAACAGTTATGAATTACAGAAATTGCTAGCTGCTTGTTGACTTCTGACAGTAAAATGCTTTCTAGAGCCCCTGCCCCATCTACCCTACCCCTCTGTGGTGCTGGGAATTGAACCTAAGGCTTCATGCATATAAGTACCCTCCCACTGGTCTACTCCCCATCCCAGCATTCCTTCTAATACCATCCTGTGAATTACCCTTTCTTTGGAGATAGCTTGGCCTAAGAGGGGTGGAACTGACAAGAACTAAGTTGGTGAGCACTGTCCTGACACCACTCCATGCCTGACCCATCTAAACAAAACAAAAATCTCTGTAAAAAGAACAGCCCCCCAAAAAACACCTTTTCTTCTAAGAAGTGGGACTGGAGAGATGGTTTCGTGCTCAGAGTGCTTGCTACTCTTGCAAAGGACCTGAGTTTGTTTCCCACCTTCCCCATGGTAGCTCACAGCCATCAATAACTCCCGTTGCAGATAATGGTGATGGCTGTTGGATTTGTTTTGAAGTTTTTCTGTCCTTCCTTACTGCCCCATTCTCTTCTGTAAACCTGCTTTTCTATTACTCGTAATTTTTGCTCCTTAAAAGGGCTGTAAGAAAAAAGAGGGGGAAAAAAGGCCGTAAGACATAGACTCAGGGCTGTTCTCTCTAACCTGACTTAGGAGGCCATCGCTGACCAGCTCTCTGGTACATCCCAATAAAAATCAAATTTGCTTCAGATTTGGATCAAAAGTGTGGTAGTGGTCTTATTCTCACTCAGTGGGATTAACGGAAGCCTGTGGGGTTCTCTCTCCTTCCACCTTTGTGTGGGTTCAGGGGTTGCTGGGTAGTCAGGTGGGCACAGGCAGTTTGCCCAAGCTCTCCCCTTCTCCTGGGATGGGCCACTCCATCAGGCCATGGAACATTGCATTCTTCTAAAAGAACAAAACCAAGCCCTAGTAGTGTTTAAGGAGTGGGGTGTTATGAAATGCAGAGTTGATGAGAGAAGAGAGGCCTCAGTGTCCTTTGAGGTCCTCCTGCTTAAGTCCCTGGATGTTCCTCAGGGCTCGTACCCTGATAGTTGCTGTGACATACTCCTGAGGTCAGGTCAACCCTGATCTTGAACTCTTGGCTTCCAGAGTTGAGAAGTAGCTGTTCGATGTTTAAGCCCCCTGTGACAAGCTTTACCTTGAATTAGAAAGGCAGGCCCCATCGGGCCCGGGAAGATGTGTAGGAATGTCAGCACTGCCCATCGTAGCCAAGCACACACATGAGGCTCTAAGGGTGCTGCTGCCAGAGCTTCTGAACAGTCTCCATCAGACAGACACCTGCAGCTGTCTTTACTTAAAAAATGAACAGCGATCCATGTCATCCCAGAAATGAGACTTCAGCTAAAAATGAGGCCCCAGAATCCTCCACTGCAGTGATGGCTGGATCCCACCAGGGAGCCCCTTTTGACCCTGCTCTGTTGGCCATCACACACCTTTCATCCCATGGCAGACAGACAGGCTTCCTACTGGGGTAGAGCTGAGGGCCTGAAGGTGCATTATAGTCCCTTTACAGGCCAGGACAGCTAAGGCTTTTCCAGCCCTTTGATTATCATCACTGAGTTGCATATGTGTTTTCCTTGTGGGCTCTCTGGGTGGTGAGGATGGTTTTTAATCTCATAGCTATTTAGCTGTGTCCTTTGCTTGAAGACCTGCCAGCCACCCTTTCATGTTGGTTACTCACTGTCATTAAATGCAGCCAGAGTGAAGTCACAGGTGCTGCAGAAAGGTGTCCACCCAGACAAGAGAACTCTCCAAACTGGTTTTTGCCTCCAGAGCAGGGCCTAGAGGGGGCCACTGCTGAGGTGGTTTTTGTTGGGTTCCAGACCCCACAGAGTCTCTGAGTTGTTTGTCAGCTGATAGCCATAGGTGCATCCTGTTTTCTAGTCCTGGCTTACTGCCCCCAAATTGCCCCACTGACATCAACATCTCATCCACCTGGGGTTTTTCCACTGTCCTGTATATAAGCCTGCTCACTCTCAGCAAGAGAGAGATTGAGAGAGAGAGAGAGAGAGAGAGAGAGAGAGAGAGAGAGAGAGAGAGAGAGACCTCTTAACACTTGCAATAAAACACACACACACACACACATGCACGCATGCACGCATGCACGCACTCTCTGGCAATAAAGATGGCAGATGCATTCTCTTAGCACAAATGCTTGGACGTCTTGTCTTTCATTTCCCAATACCTTGCACTTGCTCAAAGTGGGGGTGCTACAGGTTTTCATTTCCCTGACACTGGAAAATAATCTCAGAGTTCTGTATGAAAATGATGTGCATTTTCTGAGAGATGGTGCTTTTATTCTGGGAGGGAGACTATCCTTATCTCCTCAAGCACCCAGCCATTCTTTTAGATCTGCCTTGTTAGTCTTGTACACAGTAGCTTGCTGCTTCCAACATAAACAATGTTCAGTAGGTATTAGCTGCTGGGATTGTTAGGGAGACCTTCATGCTCTGATGCTAGATCCTTCGAGGTCTAACTTTTGAATATGCTAGTAGGTTTCCAAGTCAGAAGGCTATAGGATGCATTAAAGTAAAAATAATGGGAGGTGAGGGCGTGCTCGCATTTGAACATGCAGAGAAAGCACATGTTGACTGTGTGGTGTCTCAGGTGGAAACTTCTCAAGCCTTATCAAGTAAGAAACTTGTCACTTGGCAGCCCTGGAATGAGAAGACATCCAACCAAACCATTATCACAGCCCCACACTGCATCATCCCCCTTCCCTCACCATGGTTGTATGGCTAAAAGTAATATGGGAAGATGTATGCCATTTCAGAATCCCCAGGACCGCCGAGGCAATCTCTTTCTCTAGAAGATCATTGTGTGCGTGCGTGCGTGCGTGTGTGTGTGTGTGTGTGTGTGTGTTTGAGCACGGGTACGTGTGTGCGTGCGTGTGTATGCGCGTGTGCATGTGTGTGCGCACGTGTTCGTGTGGAGGTGCCCACAGAGACCAGAAGAGAGTGTTGCATCTCCTAAAACTAGAGTTACAGGCAGCTATGAGCCACCCAGTGTGGGTGCTGGGAGGCGAAACGTAGGTCCTCTAGAAGAACAGGGAACTCTTAACCCTGAACCATCTCTTTAGACCTGATTTCATTTCTAACTGTAAGTTATTGTCAGCTGTGAGAGCAGCTTTCAAGCTAAAGTGAGACCCTGTCACTGGCTCAGCTCCTCAGCCACTAACAGTGTGAGGTGTGCAAGTTACATGAAGTATCTTGGCTTCATTTCCTTACCTATCAAAGGGAGCCGAATTATAGGCTGTCTGACTTCCTTCAAGCATGCACCGTGCAGCTTTCCCACTTGGCTCCTGCGCTATTCTGCATGTGTTTACCCTGGCTAAAGTATAAATGAAGAGTTACATTTCTACCAGATTCTGTGAGATATGCAACCTCAACTTACTGCTTTCTGTTGGGTCCTTAGGACCTGGACATTACCATCCAGGGAGATAGTAAACAGAGCAGTGAGGCCTGTCCTCAGGTGCTTGTTACAGAAGACAGAGAACAAATTGAAGAATAAGTATGCTATGATGGTTTGTCTCCCAAAGTCCTTGTGCTGCAAACAGTGCCCTCTCAGCAGTATTGAGGCAGGGCTTAAGAAGGGATTAGGTCACAAGGACTCTGCTCTTGTAACCAGACAGATGCTGTTTAAAATGATGGTCTCAGTATAGTAAGAGTCAGCTTACTGTTACTACAGCTCAGGCCTGGTCTAGTCAATACATAGAAAAAATTACCTTTGACTCACCATATTATAGGACTCACGGTGTGTTAGGGCAAATCTGCTCACCTTTTGAACAGAGAATGAAAATGAGGAAGACACTGTGGTTCACAGTCCTCTTGAGAGCACCCTCCAAAGACCTGAAAACATCCCACCAGGTGATACGTCTTACAGTTTCTGCCAGCTCCCAATGGGCCAACCTGTAAGCAAATCTTTAACACTCTATATTGAGTTCATAGCAGTACATACCTCTCCTGTACCCTGCCCTCCGACCCTCTCCCATAATATGGTGCAGCTAGAAGATAGATTTCTCAGCCTATACAACTATGAGGAATAAACCTATGACCGTATAGGTGACCTAGACTCCAGTATTAGAGCAGGCAGAATTGACTAACGTAGAGAATTCAGCCAGGCCACTGTGTAGAATAACTTCAGTCAAGTAAGGAGTGTCTAGGACCTACCTGCTTAACCTTTAATAGACTCATAACATATGTCTGTGCATATAACCCCAATGTCCAGAATAAATGGAATGTGTAAATGGAGTTCTTAATTGGTCCAAGTAATAAAAAACTCAGAGTCAGATATAGAGGAAAATGCTGAGAGATCACAGAGAAGGGGCAAGTCACAGCCACACCTTACCTCCGTAGCATCTTAGCAGACAAGAAAGCAAGTTCCTGTTTCTCTCTACTTATATCCTGTTTCTGTCCAGCTAGCTCACTTCCTGTCTGTCTGTAGTCTATAAGACCATTAATATCATGACAAAAATTATGAGATTAGTAGCAATACAATAGTCCTAAATATTTGCTTTTCTTCTGTTCCATGTCAGATGGTTCTTCTGACATGAGACAGATTTTGGATTTTACTTTAACAAGCATGTTTGGGTTTGGAGAAGAAGAGAGCCACACTCCAATTACAAAGCTCACTTTTAATCTTTAATTGGATTGAGACTACAAAGAGATCATTTGTATATATGTCTGTAGGGGAAAAAAAAGAAAACAAATTTGGGGAGATTTATGAAATTTTACTCTGTTGTAAATGATATACAAATGAGCCAATTTACTCTTTTTCTTGGGACAATTTTTTTCTAGATTATTTGTCCTTTTTATTCAGATGTCTCATTTGTTTGGTGGTCTCAGGATTCCTTAGATGGATAC